CGGAGGTAGGCTGGTCCCTTCGCAGCGCTGGCCCCGGCTCGCGCCTCGGGGAGGAGGGCTGCAAGAGCAGGCGGCACAGAAGAGCGGAGGGGGCGAAGGTGGAAGCGTTACTGAGGGTTGGAGGGCAGAAGGGGGGAGAGATCGGCCTCGGGGCCCTGCTCGGCTCCCCACCGGTTTTTAAGAGCTCGTCGTGCAAGAGAGCAAGCTCAAAGCTGCAGGCTCTGGAGCAAGATGCCCAGCGAGAGGGAGCAGAGAGTTAGGGGAGTAGTGGGAGGTTTTGCTGACTCACAGAGGGGTAGAACATAAATAAGTGTCAAAGGTCTCCTCTACTGTTTTTGAATGCCTGGACTTCCTTTTTTCTTTTTTTTTTTTTCCCTTCCTTTCCTTCCTTAGATGTTTCACTGAATCAGAAGTTTTCATAGAAAGACAACAACTTCCTCAGGCTCAGCTTGAGCTCATTCATTAAGCAATTAGAGGATTTTTATGAGATAGAAAAACAATTTGAAATTACAAACTTTCCCCAGAAGTTTGGTTGTTGAGAGCTATTTTTAAACACATTTTTTTCTGGCTTTCCTTTAAATAGAGAAAGATTTTTTCAAACGGATCAGTCGCTGCCAGTGCATCTTCAGCAACTTCTCGCCTGCCTGCCACAGACCTGCCGGAGGCCCAGACCTCCCTCGCTCTACGGACAAGTGCTGCTGGCTAATTTAACTCCGTTCAGCTGGCTTTGGTGAGTGCAAAGGCTTAGCTGGGTTCAGGGATTAGATGCGTATGGCCATAACGTGTATGTCCACAATTACATTAGACAGCTTGAAAGTGGACGCGAAAGGAATACAAACCTTCCTGGCAGGGTACGAGCGATTTGAAAAGACGCGGAGCCTGTGATCTGCAGGAGGCTTCCTCTAAGCGGGGCTTTATTCCTTAACTGCTCATTACAAGGATGCTGTGAGGCCCCTGCAATCAGCCCCTGCCCAACAGAGGCCACTGGTGGAGATGGACTGTTGATATGAACCAGCTGGACACTTGGATTTACCTAAATATAGTATTAGTTTAGCAATTATTTTAAAACAGTTTAGTTGACATATAACGAACGTGAAGGACTTGCTGTTTGCCTAATAATAGACTTGGGATAATGTGTGGAGCACGTTTCAGACAAGCCTCGGGATATGCAAGTACCAAGTAGATGCAAAAATATTTATCTACAAACCTTTCGAGGAGTCTCCCAAGCTCCCTGCCTCACTATTTCTGAACACTGCCCTTTTTTCTACTCACAGGTTCATCTGGCCAGTTCTTCAAGGCAGAGACTGTCCCTGACTCTGAGATGAGCCCCTGAGCAACAAGGACCTATTCCTTGTGCAGTACTTAAAAGTACGTACGACCAGGGCTTCAGAGAGCACCATAAGGAAACAAACCTTTGCTCTAGAGACTGTAATATGCTTTTTCCATCCATGCTTCTTCAGCGCATTGTCTGGAGAAGCAGCTGATGAGATGGCACAGAGTGCTGAGGTCCAGCCAAGCTTTGAAGACATTTTTAATATTCTCTCCCAGATCCCAGGAGATAAACTCCTTAACCTCAAACATAAACTGAAGCACTTGATATCTAAGCCCAGCAGCAAATTATTGCAAGCCATGGTCCTGCTTACTTTGGGGCAAGAAGCAGATGCAAGAATTTGTCTGGATACTTTGAGGAACGACCAGGCAGCCCTATATATCCACAGGACCAGACTGGGCACTGCGAGAGTACAGGAAGACGGTGAGGATTTGCAGCCCCCCCAGCTGGATGCAGATGCCATAGCGCTTCTGGCACAGATCTACTCGCTGCTGGTAGACGAAAAAGTGTGCAGTCGGGAAGCTATGGTCAGAGCCTACCAGACTGCCATCAAGGCCTGTGACACTAGCGGGAACCCTCAGCGGGAACCACTGAAGAGCATCCTGGCTGAGGCTCAGGAAAAATGTGGTGCTGCTATCAGCTTTATGGGTTCAGGTGGCAGGTTCCAGATGATGAGATCGGACCCGGGATTTTTCCAGACTGCCAGCCCAAACCGTGTGGCACGAAGTTCCCCAGTGCAGATCGGAAATGTGTCGGACCTTTCAGGCCCACGGACCTTGCGCTCCTCGGGGAGCCCAGCTTCTTTCATCAGTCACTTTGAGATCAGTGAATCGCCAACAGCCGTTTTTCACACCCAGCCTCCTCACTGTAACCATGTCCCCCAGCTGAGCCAGCTGTGTGCAGAGCCTATGAGCTGTGCTGGAGAGCCTGCCAGGGAGAGCGAGAGCCACGGCCTGCAGGAAACAAGCTGGGCCAACAGCACCAATTCACATCCCATGCAGGGCACAACCGCCCATGTCCCCAGACCAAAGATGGAGGTTCTGCAGACCAGTTCTTGTCATCCATTTCTCCCTATTCCTGAAATTCAGCTTCCTACACCGAGTGCTGTGAACCAACCTGTCGAAAGTAGTGATGTTTCCAGCACAGTGACAGCAGAACCTCAGGCACCAAAAGAAGGCACAGCCCAAAAGCAAGAGGACTTACCTACAGGTCTTCCTGATTCAAGAGCCACAGCGCACACTGGTCCCATCCACACGTCTGCAGAGGATATTCCAGCAGGTACATCTTCCCATACTACATCTCCTACTTCAGCCTGTTCCCTTCCTCCTCATACACCTTCCTTCTCCCCAGCCCTTCCCCCTCCTCTTCAGGCAGTTCCTCCCAACTCAGCATATCCCTCTTCCTTCCATTCATCCTCCTCTCCAGCCTACCCTCCTCCTGTCCAAAATGCAGAAGCAGCATCCACATCAGAGCCAGATGAAGAGAGAAAGTTCTTCACTTTTGTTGTCCTGCATGCTAGTGAAGATGTGGACATTGCCTGTCGGGTCAAGGAGCTGCTGGAAAGCATGGGGGTTCCCAATGGTGCCACATTCTGCGAGGACTTCCTCACTGCTGGACGTGGCCAGCTGTTTTGCTTCCAAGATGCTATGGAAAACTCTGCTTTCACCATCCTTTTGCTGACCAAGAACTTCCTGTGCCAGCTGTGCATGTTTCAAACAAACTCAGCTCTGATGGAGTCCATCCTGCGACCATCCAAGCACAACTCAGTCATCCCTTTTGTTCCCAGAGAGAACCCCTTGGAGAGGAGGGAGATTCCCGCCCTACTGAGCGGGCTGGTGTCCTTGGATGAGAACTCCTCTGTGTTCTCCAAGACAGTAAAGAACACCTTTACACCCAGCAAGATCAGTGAGCTGAAAGCCATGTGGAAACAGATACAGCAAATCCAGGAGCATAAAAGGAAACTGCAGCTGTATCAGGATCACTGTCAAACACTGAAGAACTTAGCTGATCTGAACCTCGGCTCCGTTCCCCAGATGCCTTTGTCAGCACCACAGCCAAATCTGGGAAGCTTACAGCAGCTTTTGGAGCAGCTCATGCCTCACCAGTCACCCCAACAGTGCCATTTTCCTATGCCTGTCCCTCCTGCCACATACCCACCTCCCTCCGCTGATCACGCCATACCTGCTCAGCTGGGTCCCTCTCCTTCCCAAACATTTTATCTCCCATCAGGCCACCCCAATATGATGCAAGGTCCAGGAGCTGCCCAGAACCTCATCATTCAGCATGCTCGAATGGTACAGATTGGGAACCACAACATGATGCATGTGCAAACTGCCCCATCAGGTCAAGAGGACAGTGAAGAAGAAACCAGGGAGAAGGCTTGATCAAAGATGCAGAAGTTCAACCAGGGACAGAGACATTCACACTTAATTCCTAAGCTAGATAGCAACAAATCTGCTGGGACTGGGACTGTTCTTATTATTTCACTGTGAATAAAACAAGGTACCACTTTCTTGGAGCAGAGGAGAAAATGACCTCTTTTCTGTTGGACAAGAGAGGTTGCAGTCTCCTGAGACTGTTTTCCTTGTGCTTATTTTCAAGTAACTGCAAAAACTATTTTCTTGACTCTTGAGGGCTACTTGAAGATTTTATGAATACATTTTAATTAATTCATCTGTGTTTCTCCAGTTCTTTCTTGTAGAAATGGGAAAGGGACAGTCAGGAATATCTGGGAAACTGTTCTGAATGTGTGTATCTCGGGGCAGGCAGCAGAGCCCAGGGGATGGTGCTGGGACACAGCACATCTAGATCCTGTTTCAGAATCTGCTGTCGAGTTGTGTGAACCTGGCCAAGTCATTTGAGGGAAAAATTTCCAGGGAGTGCTTGGGGGGGGGTCACTGTGGCCTCCTGTCGAGGTGCTGAGCACCATGAGGTCCCCTTGTTTTCTTCTGGTAGTCCTCTTCTCTCAGGGTGGCACGGTGCCCTCTTGGCACTTAAAACCAATGCCTGCTTTGAGTGAATAGAGCGTTCTCTTTGCTGCGGCCTGCCAGCAAAGCCATTTCCCCCAACCTCTCAAATCAGACCCAAAGAGAGTCATGAAAGTGGCTTCAAAAACTTCTGTGGGGCGGCAGGCCTGTGGGTTGAGGTGTCGGGAGATCACTTTTCCCAGTTTCCTCTGAAACCACAGAGAGAGATGCTTTTTGTTTGTGAAAGATTAAATTCCCGCATGATCCTAGAGCCACAGCTTTAAGGAAAGTATTTCTGTATTTAGGAAAACTCTGTGAAACTCACAAGGACTGACACTGCACAACAGACACAAGGTTAAACAAAAATCTTTAGAGTAAAGCTGCACTTGAGGAAAAAGTGCCTTGATGAAAGTGGAATTGGAAGGGGAAATATGGGCAGAGAGTCCAAGGAGGCAGAGGCTGAGGATTCACTTCTCCATTCCTACCTGTTTAAAGGCCAGAGGTGAGAGCAGGGCCCTGGTACGCTAACCGTTATACAGAGAAATCCTTCCCACTGAGATTTCTCCATTTATTGATTTATGTTATTGCCTTTGAAGGAAATGTTTGGCTCAAAGAACAAGAGCATTGGGCAGAGGATAACAGAAAGAAGGGAGAAAGCTCATGAACGCAGGGGGACATTCTGCAGGACCTGGGCCACGGCTACACGAGCCAAGTTTCTACTGTGCTTTTAACACAGGAGCATTTCACCAGCAGGGCGTCCGATTCCTCGCTCTCCCTCTGACTTGCCTTCTGCTGCGGCCCTTTGCCTGCTCTGTCGGTAGAGGTCAGCCCAATGCCACCAGATGTCTAGAAATGGGACTGTTCCCTCTGCAGACCAGAGCCCAAGCAACAGCAGCAAATTCTAGAGTCACCTAAGACGCTGATCTAGGGTGTGCCTGCAAGCTGCAGGGCAACGCTATTCCTGTCCCTGCAAAGGAGCCAGACAACTGCCGAGTCCTCATTAAGGTGAGACTAGAGGGCCAGTGTAATTGATTCAGGGGAAGTGACTCAGTTTCCTGTATTTCTCCAGATGTTTGTACGCGCATGTCACTCTCAATAATTGTTCCAGAACATTTCAAATCAAGAGAAGCCAGCATGGTCTGGCAGCCAAAGCAAAGGACTCCTACAGGCTGCCCCGGGACTCTGGACTACACAAGCAGGGCACTCACAGGGTGTAATTCTGGATTCTAGCCTTTGTCCAAACCATCCAAGCTTTATAACAAGCTACTGCATAAGAAAGATATTAATAATTCTTGGAGAAAAGACAGTTCAGCCCACATCAATCCCCTCCCAGGGAGCACTTTGATCATTAGGCTAAAGACTATCTATCTTCACTCTTCCTTTCTGGCTCAATTTATCTTAAACTCTCTCTCTGCACAAAGCACTCCCCCCTCAGACAGGTACTAACCTACTAAATTAACTACTGAGATATGAATCCCCCAACACTGAGGGACAGTAGAATGGGAGTCAGCTCCTTAAAGGACAGCTCCTTAAAGGACAGCAGGTAATGGTATAAAGGAGGGCAATCACCGCCACCGCGTTCAAAGCTGCAACTGCTGCCTTTTTATTTTCAAGCAAGCTAAGCCCATCATCAGGAGGCACTGAGGATGTCTGCTGGACTGAGCACCCTGGGGGGGAAGTGGATGAAAGTGAAACTGGAGAGCCTGACTAAATATCAGTGCAAGTTCTGGAGCTTCTGGGCACAACCAGATGCAGGAACTCAGAGAGCTGAACTGCCCATACTCTTAAATGGCAACAGAGCAGTGGCTTTCAGGATCAGAGTTTTGGATTTAAATCTCCCAGAAGTTCCTCTTTAGAGGCCATAGGTCCTTTCTCATGGATCTGCCCAGAGAAGATCTCTCTGCCTCCCTCTCACCCCCATAAGCTTCAAGGAGGCTTAACTCCTCTTGGACCTCCTTGGCTGAAAACTTGCACAAGACACAGGGTTTGTGCAAATCAAAGTCCTCTCTGTCCCGAGCAGAACAAGAACCACATAAGACCACTTCTATTTAAGAGCTGCCATCGGTTGCTGGCTTCCAACTTTGAAACAGTCTGGCTTTTACTTTTAAGTTCTAAGGGCTCAGTGACAATGGGTTAACTAATTTACTTTCTTATAGAGTCTGCTGGAATCCTCCAACTGCTTGGATCCCTTTTAAGCACTCAGAAAGGCCCTATTTTCTCTCCTTTACGTCACCTTTGTTTGAATAGGTGTTGTGTTACCGCAATTCCTGTCACACCGCAGTTGTTGCTGTGCTGCTACCAGGGCAGTCCCTCCCCTTGGGAGATACCAAACACATTACTCCTTTCCCAACTATTCTGCTTTCTATAAATAAACATCATGCAAAACTGACCGGTCAGTTGGAAGCTGCTCTAGCTTGTGAACAAGCTTATCGCAGTCACATCAAGTTTGCTTGGACTGGAGGAAGGCAGAAGGAAAGACATGGCAGGAGACTGTAAAACCCTGTAGGTATTTTTTTAGCCTGTGCGTGGAAGGCCAAGCTCAAAGGTTACTGGGAGCAATTTAAGAGCCACAGCCCTGTTTCAATTGCAGCAGTAGGTTCACTCACCCCACATTTTGGGGTCCTGCTTGAGCAGGGAGGTTGGACTAGATGATCTCCAGAGGTCCCTTCCAACCTAAACGATTCTGTGATTCTGTGATTTTCAGGCAGCTCTTTGCTGTTGCAGACCCTGGAAAGGAAGCTTACCACTCAGGCCTTATTTTCACCAGGAAAACGTGCATGTGCTTGTGACCTTCCAGTTGTTCCCCAACTTCTCTGTGAACTGCAGAAACGCTGACACAGCGTCCCTATCTTTACACCCGAGGCCACTTACTTTATAAACAACATTCATGTAACATCAGCAGGCTTCAGAGAGCTCCAATGACCACCATGAAAGGAAAGGAGCAACTGGCTCCAGGAAAACCTTGGGTGAATTTCTCTCCCGTTTTGCATTTCCAAAGAAACCTGTATGGAAACCTTCACTGTCAAGAGAGCCAATTACAGGTGCTAGAAAGAGTTTGTTGTTGTTGTTGTTGTTTTTAAGAGAGAGAAGAAAGCACCTCTCAGGTGTGTGTGTGTGTAGCAGGGGACAAACATTTCAATGACGGAAGAGTACAGAATGGCTCCTGGAGAGCAATGTGCTACAGCGGCATCTGTAGCCATCCCAGTGAAAAAAACTCCATGCTCTGTCCCAGATAATTGCTCAGATAATAAATCCATCATTGAAACATTTCACTGCTCCCCACAACTATCTGTTCTGCCCTGCATCCTGGAGTTGGCCCAGACAACACCTACAGTAAATAATGATTGTCCACAGTAATTATGCCTGAATTCATGCAGTAATTTCTCCCACCCGATAATTACCATCAATATTTAATTGCTGGGTCCTCACTGTGTAATTACAGGCTATTTATGCTCTGAAAAAAAAAAAATTAAAAGCCCTTTTCTACCACACAAAGCAGCCTCTTCCATGAGGCTTTTTTACAGGACTGGATCCCCCCAGCTACCTGATCACAAGACCTTGGCTCCAGAGCTGCTCCTCATCCTAGCTCTGCGGTACGACTCCCTTTTCATCTCTCTCCTCACAGCAGTTCTACCTACGGGATGGCAGTCAGAGAGCACCAGAGTCAGGAACGACCAGCCAGCACCTCAGTCCAGAGGCTATCCCCTTTCCTGTACCTGCTGCGACAGCTGTTCACCTGCATACCTGAACATCACCAAGAGCGTAGCACAACGACAGCAGAAGCATCTCCCACAGAACTGCAGACTTAAACGTCACGTTCACATTCTCAAAGAAAACAGAAGGGAGTAACACTGAGGGGTGTGTCAAAAACGGAGCAGTCAACACAGGGCCAAACTTTCAAATACTTCACGCCTCCATGTGCTCCCCTCCCCAGGGAAGACTGAGCATTTTCGGAAATCCAGCTCTGCCCTATTGGGGAACTAACTCCAGTACCTTTAATTCTTCTGTCTGCTTTTGGCCACCCACTGACAGCTTTGGGGTTTAAAGATATAAGTTGATGACAGCCACGTTGCATCCCTCTTCCTGCCTGCTGTGCGAGGGCTTAGTTCATCACAGTACTTTACACACAGGAGCAAGATAGCCAAGTCAGTACTCAAGCCTACAAACAGTCCCGATTCTGTATAAGGCAGGTAGCATCTCAGTCAACAGGATATCATCCATTCTCATTGCTTCATTGACATCGAAAGATAACGCAAAGCATTTAAAGAGAGGTGTGCTTTAAGTGTCGGTGTTAGCCTTCTTCAGGCGAGAGTGTTTGCAAACGCAGTACAGATAAACTTTTCCTGCGAGTAAACCGAGATGAAATGAAAGTCTCTCCTGTTGATTGTAAAAGTCACGTTATTTCCATATCCACAAATGCACCATCCCTAGAAAACGAGCAAGAGCTGAAAACAGAGGCTTACCAGCAAAAAGTCCAAGGCACTTGCATTCTAGCAGCCATTTTTTGTTTTATTATTTAAAGTTAAGAGCGCTCATCAGCTCACAAATTAACAAATTCCATTTCTGCAGTTTAGTTCAGATTTCAGCCAAAAGGAGAAAAAAAAATAGAACATAGCCAAACTAACTCCGCACTTTACGTCTTGATAAAAGTTAAACCTCCTTGCTTTATAAATAAAAGTTATAGTTAACACTGCAAAAATGTAACGGCAGATCTACAGTATTTTTAACGGGCAGAGAGCATTGGATTATTGAGGCTTATGGATACGCTGGCTTATAAATACAAGTACAGAAGCTTCAGTAGCGTATAGTGTGCGGTTGTTCATCAGGGTTCTGCTCTCCCAGTCTTGACCTTTTCTCAAAGCTCAGAGGCAGCTGCTTCACCCTCAACTATGCTTTCCACCCTGCCTGGGCCAAGAAACGAGCCACAGGCTGCCAAAGCCCCGTCCTTCCTGCTGCAAGAAG